CTGGATGACCTGCCTTTTGTTGAAAGTTGGGATGTTGAACTCCTCTGCTATGATTATATTGTTGTCTATCTCCCCCTTCGAATCTGTTAGTATTTGCTTAATATATTTAGGTGCTCTGGTGTTGGGTGCATATTTATTTACAGTCGTTATATCCTCTTGATGAATCACCCCTTTTTAATTATATAATGACCTTCTTTGTCTCTTGTGATAGTTTTTGATCTAAAGTATGTTTGTCGGATAGAAGTATAGCTACCCTTGCTCTCTTGTAGTTTCCATTTGGTGTGGGGTATCTCTTTCCTTCCTTCACCTTAGCCTATGTGTGTACCCGAGGCTGAGGTGAATCATATGTAGGCAGCATATAGTGGAGTCTTGTTTATATAATCCATTCAGCCACTCTTTGCTTTTTGGTTAGAGAGTTTAATTTACATTTAAATTAGTTATTGATAGGTAAAGACGTTCTAATGCCATTGTATTAATTGTTTTTTGGCCGGCTGGTTTGTAGTTCTTTTGTTTCTTTATCTCTTACTGTCTTCCTTTGTAACTTGATGTTTATTTTCTTTAAAAATTTTTAAAAATTTTAAAGTTTATTTATTTGAGAGAGAGAGAGAGAGAGAGAGAGAGAGAGAATCCCAAACAGGCTCCACACTGTCAGCACAGAGCCTAATGTTGGGCCCAAACCCACAAACTATGAGATCATGACCTGAGCTGAAACCAAGAGTTAGATGCTTAAATGACTGAGCCACCCAGGTGCCCCTTGATGTTGATTTTCTATAGTGGAATACTCTGATTCCCTTTTCTTTTCTTTTTTCTTAAATAGTTTATTGTCAAGTTGATTTCCATATAACACCCAGTGCTCATCCCCACAAGTGTCCTCCCCCATGCCCATCACCCCCCTTCCCCTCTCCCCCACTCCCATCAGCCCTCAGTTTATTTTCAGCATTCAAGAGTCTCTCATGGTTTGCCTCCTTCCCTCCTCCAAACTATTTTTCCCCTTCTTCTCGCCCATGATCCTCTGTTAAGTTCCTCCTAATCCTGCTATACGTGTAAACATCTGGTATCTGTCCTTCTCTGCCTGACGTATTCCGCTGAGCATAACACCCTCAAGGTCCATCCATGTTGCTACACATGGCCAGATTTCATTCTTTCTCATTGCCATGTAGTATTCCATTGTATAGATGAACCACATCCTCTTGATCTGTCTGTTGATGGGCACTTAGGCTCTTTCCATGTTTTGACTATTGTTGAGAGTGCTGCTATGAACATTGGGGTACATGGGCCCCTATGCATCAGCACTCCTATATACCTTGGGTAGATTCCTAGCAGTGCTATTCTGAGACATAGGGGAGTTCTATTGTTAATTTTTTGAGGAATCTCCACAAAGAGAGAGATTTTCTAGAGGGGCTGCACCAGCTTACATTCCCACCAAGAGGGTAGGAGGGTGCCCATTTCTCCACATCCTCGCCAGCATCTAGAGTCCTCTGATTTGCTCATTTTAGCCACTCTGACTGGCGTGAGGTGGTATCTCAGTGTGGTTTTGATTTGTATTTCCCTGATGAGGAGGGATGCTGAGCATCATTTCATGTGTCTGTGGCCATCTGGGTGTCCTCTGCGGATAAGTGTCTGTGCATGTCTTCTGCCCATTTCCTCACTGGATTGTTTGTTTTTCTGGTGTGGAGTTTGGTGAGATCCTTATAGATTTTGGATACTAGCCCTTTATCTGGCATGTCATTTGCAACTATCTTTTCCCATTCCGTCAGTTGTCTATTAGTTTCATTGATTGTTTCCTTTGCCGTGCAGAAGCTTTTAATCTTGATGAGGTCCCAATCATTTATTTTTGCTCTTGATTCCCTTGCCTTTGGGGATGTGTCAAGTAAGAAATTGCTGCAGTTCAGGTCAAGGAGGTTGTTTCCTGCTTTCTCCTCTAGGGTTTTGATGGTTTCCTGTCTCACATTCAGGTCCTTTATCCATTTTGAGTTTATTTTTGTGCATGGTGTGAGAAAATGATCTAGTTTCATTCTTCTGCATGTTGCTGTCCAGTTCTCCCAGCACCATCTGTTAAAGAGGCTGTCTTTTTTCCATTGGATACTCTTTCCTGCTTTGTCAAAGATTAGTTGGCCATATGTTTGTGGGTCCAATTCTGAGTTCTCTATTCTATTCCATTGGTCTATGTGTCTGTTTTTGTGCCAATACCATACTGTCTTGATGATGACAGCTTTGTAGTAGAGGCTAAAGTCTGGGATGGTGATGCCTCCAGTTTTGGTTTTCTTTTTCAATATTACTTTGGCTATTTGGGGTCTTTTTTGGTTCCATACAAATTTTAGGATAGTTTGTTCTAGTTTGAGAAGAATGCTGGTTCAATTTTGATTGGGATTGCATTGAATATGTAGATTGCTTTGGGTAGTAATGACATTTTAACAGTATTTATTCTTCTGATCCATGAGCATGGAATATTTTTCCATTTCTTTGTGTCTTCTTCAATTTCTATGATAAGTTTTCTATAGTTTTCATCATACAGATCTCTTATATCTTTGGTTAGGTTTATTCCTAGGTATTTTATGTTTTTTTGTGCAATTGTGAATGCTGATTCCCTTTTCTTTATCTTGTGTGAACCTACTGTAGATTTTTATTCTGTGGTTTACCTGAGGCTTCCATAAAACATCTTATAAGATATCACAGTCTATTTTAAGCTGATAACTTAACTTTGATGACATATAAAATCTCCATGCTTTTATTCCCTGCCCACATTTTATGTTTTTGATATCACTATTTACATCTTTTTACATTGTGTATGCATTAACAAATTACTGTGGTTATAGCTATATTTAATAGTCTGTCTCTTAACTTTTGTACCAGAGTTAATTGAACAACACACTACCATAGTGCGGTATTGGAGTATCTGCATCTGACTATATACCTAATGTTACCAGTGTAGTGTGTATTTTCACATGTTTTCATGTTACTGAATAGTGGCAAGAAGTCTTTTAAGCCTGAGCGGTGCCAAGCTGGGGTTGGGCTGTCAGTGACAAAATATAGCTATTCTTGCTGCTCTTTTTGTGCTGATATTCTCAGGTTTTGTGTTCCATCGTGTTGATGAAGCTTTTTCAGTGGACTCCTGAGCTCTCCTAGAGCTGTTTTCTTTCACAGATACTTGTCTAACTATTGACCTTTTCCAGAGGACAGAGGCCCGGTGTCTCTTACTCCACTATTTTGGTTACCTACACACATACTTTTTTTCTTTTTTCTTTTTCTCTCTTTTTTTTTTTAGAATTTTAATTTTAAGCCATTTCTACACCCATTATGGGGCTCAAATTCACAATCCCGAGATGAAGAGTTACACACTCCACCGACTGAGCCAGCCAGGTGTCCCCTATCCACATTCCTTTTTTAAAGTTTTTATTTTATTTTTTATTTCAGAGAGAGAGACAGAGAAAGCATGAGTAAGGGAGAGGGGGAAAGGGAGAGAGAGAGAGAGAATATTTTTAAAAAATTTTTAATGTTTTATTTATTTCTGAGAGAGACAGTGTGAGCAGGGGACGGTCAGAGAGAGAGAGACACACAGAATCTGAAACAGGCTCCAGGCTCTGAGCTCACTGTCAGCACAGAGCCCGACGTGGGGCTCGGACCCACAAACTGTGAGATCAGGACCTGAGCTGAAGTAGGACGCTTTACCGACTGAGCCACCCAGGCGCCCCGAGAGAGAGAATCTTAAACAGGCTCCATGCTGAGCAACGGGGCTTGATCCCACAGTCCTGAGATCATGACCTGAGCTGAAATCAAGAGTCTGTTGCTTAACCAACTGAGCCACCCAGGCGCCCCACACATAACTTTTAAAGAAAAAATATACCTACTGATTTTTTCATTATTAAATTACCAATAAAGGGATTTAATTTTAGATAAAATTATTCATTCAACAGATATTTACTTCCTTCTTATATATTACTAAGTACAAGTAGGATAGAAAAAACAGATGGCCAGTGTGTGGCCACCAAAAAGCCTAAATCCTCACACAAGTTTGGTTCTCAACCTTTTGTGAATTAGGGTAAATGATCTCATTGTGCCATGCTAGTATTTTTAGTGTTTATTTTATGGTGCCTATTAAAAGCTTAATTAAAAACATTAAAGTAATTATATTACTTATCCCTTAGTCTCTCTTTCTGTATAATCACTGTTGGGGCAGAATATCTTCCTCAGGGCATGATAAAAGATAAACAAAAGATAGATGATAGTGCAAGATATGAAATACCCAAATAATTAGGTTTCAGACTTCAAATTTAAGATTTCATTCTCATCTTGGCATTTTCCTGAAGAAGCAGCAAGAGGCAATTAAAAAGGTGTTTTTTACTTGAGACTTGAATTTTTGTCCATCTTTGGTCCCAGAGACTAGTGGGCCCCCTCAGCAGCTTCCCTGACCCATTCATGTAAAGGATTCTGTGGTGGCTCTGGGTTTCCTAATCTACTGTGTATGAAGACCTGTTTCCTGCAGATGGCTGTAAAGGGTTCATCTATGTCTGGGGCTTGCTGATGGGAGTTTTCGCTCTGAGGGGTAAGGGCTGCCCAAGCAGGGAGACCTCTGTCCCATTACGGAAAGAGTCTTGGCTTTCCCTGGACAATACATCAAATTTTGTGAGAGAACAGTCCTCTTGTTTTATTTATTCCCTTTGCCCACCTCTCAGTTCCCCATCAGTGAAATGAGGATAACAATCCTTTTCTGTCAGGATGATTGTGAGGAGTAAAGGCAGTTCCTGGCACCAAGTAGGTGATCGAGAAGTGAATCAATAAGGGGCGCCTGGGAGGCTCAGTCGGTTAAGCATCTGACTCTTGATTTTAGCTCAGGTCATGATCTCATGGTTCATGAGTTTGAGCCCCACATCGAGCTCCATGCTGACAGTGCAGAGCCTGCTTGGGATTCTCTCTCTGCCTCTCTCCTGCTCTCTCTGTTTCTCAAAATAAATAAACTTTAAAAACTCTTCTAAAAAAGAAGTAAATCAGTAAGTGATGGGTTCGAGCTTATCCCCATATAATTTTATTAAGGACACGTGGTACACCAGGGTTGGTTTAAGATACTTGCTGAGGCTCACAGGCCCACAGCCCACCTTTGGCGAAGGCTCAGTGTTCTCTCAGCAGCAGTCTTCCCAAAAGGCCAGCCACGCAGTAAGGCTTCTGGCCCTGCTGCCAGTGGGGGTTCTGCAGAGAATGACTGATACAGCCGGCCTGCTACCACTGCACACCTAAGGTAGACTGGAGGCACAGTCTACATGGAGGTACAGACCAGGTGGTGATGCTCCAATAAGCACATTGGGGGAATCAGGAAAGTTGAATGAATGGTCACTGCAGGTCCCTCTTTTTCACAGCTGTCTCCAGGTCCCTGTGGAAAAGATGAAGCTGGGTTTACCAGGTTTGCCTTCTGATTTATGTGTAAGACCAGAAGCTGCCACTTGGTTTGCATGCATTCAGATAGATGAAGTGCCTACCATGTAAGTTTGGGGTTACAAAGGAAGGACACGATGAGTCTCTGACATACCCTCTTCCCTTCCAATATTTACAGAGGCATGAGCTGGATCTTCTGGAAGTTAGCATGGTAGTTTTAAAATGAGTCCACAAATTCTTTGAAATGCCTCCCCTTGAAAGGTGGATCTAGTACCCCCTAGAGCTTCTGGGCTTCTGATGAATAGAATATGGTGGAACTGATGAGCCCTCACTTTTGAAGACAGGTCATACAGCTTTCTGCTGGCTCTCTTCTTACTTGCTCTTGGAACCCAGCTTCCATATTGTACAGAAGGTTGGACCACACACAGAAGGGATGTGTGGCTGCTTCACTAGCCACATCAGTTAAGCCCTCAGCCCACAGCCAGCATCAATCACCAGACATGTGAGTGAAGGAGCTTTCAGATGATTCTAGCCCCAAATCTTTGAGACTGATAAACTCTCCCCTTTGTGCCCTGTCTGAATTCCTTTCTTCTAGGAAAAATACGAAATGATTACTATTGCTGTAAGCCACCAAGGTTTTGTGTTATTGGTTATACAGAAATGGATAACCAGTATAACCAGTTTGTTGTGACAAGTTAGGGCATCTTCCACAATCAGACTTTTTGAATAAGCTTATACACAGGCTGCAAATGACTGTCATCCATTTAATTTCCAAAGGTCATTGAAGGGTCTAGGCAAGAAAAGCATTTTTTTCAGTCTTATGAGGTAAAGCAGTGATTCTCAGCTGGGCACCAGTCTCAGAAGGCATATCTAGGGAAGGATGGTTGGGGGCTGAGCAGTGTTCAAGGCAGTCCTGCAAAAGAAAGAATTAGCTAACATCCCACACAGCTTTCAATTGTTATTTGCTCAATGGCTCCTGTTGGATCTGGCCAATGCAAGGCCCTGAGAAGAGAATGGAGGGTAGAAGGAGAGAGGTCAGGCTACTTACCATTCTGGTTTCCTCCCCACCCAGTGCCCAGCGGCCTGTTGGTTGTGGCCAAGTTCCTCTGTCCAAAGCTACATCACTGGGGTAGTCAGCTCCATGACTCACTGAGTTCCATCCATAGCTGCTTCCCTTTGAACCTACAGGAACTTTCACTAGCCCCTAGAGTGCCTCACCCTCCCCTGATGGTTTCCCATAAGCCTGCCTGTACCTTCATGAGACATCCTTCATGTCATTCTTCACACACACTATTTCCTGTTGGGGCGCCCATTGATACTTTGTATGTCCACCATGTCCCTCTTCAGAGGTGTATTTGTCCTAACATGTTATCCCTGCTTACATTAAGATTAGTGTCCCACTTCTCTTTGCAAATGCAAATAAGTCTGGTCTAGCTTATCTGAACACTAGTTTTCATTCTATCCTCTACCCTTAAATGTTGTTTTTTATTTTTCCGTACTTCTCATCTGGAATGTGTTTGGAACTTCTCACTTACTTTTAAATCCAAACTTATTAATTACAAGTAAGTATAACTATTTGACTTCTACATAAAGGTATAAGCATTTGCTCTTTTATTATGTTTTCTAGTGGAGTCATGATAAAACAACTGCATACTGAAATACATGTTATGTAGTATTTCTTTACAAATTACTTCTCTTCTACTTTTATTATAGTTTGGAATATATACATATATATTTACATATATATAGTCCAGAATATATATATGCACATGATATATATGATTTATATATGATGTGTACATGTGTGTATGAATGTATGTATGTATTAATTATATGCATTTATTACCATGAATTTCATTTCCAGGCAGTGAAGGTGATTTACCCAATTACAATAGAGTGGTTGTTGGGTCTCATAGGGTTGAGGACCTCTGACTAAGAGCTCCACAGTGTTGGAAAAGGGTTGAATACAGCGTCCTCCGTGACATTGACATTGACTACCCCACAGATCCCCTGCGCACCATGTAAGATTTTGTGGCCTTCCAAAGAATGGCTATCCATCAATCCACAAAAAAGCCTCCCATGTGCAGGAAGCTTCCATTTGAGTGCCTTCCCCCTCAAATCTTCTAGAAGTCCAGTGTGCATTCTGAACCCCATCAACCCTTGGAAGCCTTAGAATTGCTCCGCTGTTGATTGAAATTACAGTCCGCTGGGGTGGAAATGAACAACGTGGCTTCCTTGGCCTGTGTTTACTACTCCTGTCCTCCGTTTCCTAAGACAGTGGGAATAGGCACCAACTAGACAAAGCAGCACAGACAAGGTCATGAGGACCTTCTGAAGGGGATCACTGAATCCAGGAGTGATCACCTTGGGCCATGCCAGTGCCTCTTGGAGAAGACCAGTTGTTAAAAATAGTTGTAAGGAAAGGACATGATTAAAACACATCATCCTACACACTGACTGGTAGTCTTAATTCTCTTATCCTTCTATGCTCCCACGAAATACCCCTTCCCTTTAGAAAGCTGCTGATTATAATGAAACCAGACACAAGATACACTAGAGCAGGTCTCACTAGAATCAGTTAGACTCTTGACTGCTGTAATCATCATGGCTTCATAATATCATCTTCTTCCACGGAGCTGAGAATCATTTGCAGACATGACCTTATTTGTCTATATGACCAACCTATCCATAGGCGGAGTATTATCATCCCCATCATGCCTCACGCAGTTGGGGCTTTCTCAAGATCACCTGGAAAATTGGCCATAAAGACGAGGCTGGAAGCAGTATTGTAATTTTCATTTTCATTCTGGACCTGTTAGAGCTTGTGGCCACTGGCTGCAAGGCATGTGAGACACCTGGGAAAATGCATATGCACGTTACCATCCAAATGTGAAAACAGCAATATCAAAGCCTAGATGTTTGAAATGCTCTCCAAAAGAGGAAACAAAAAAGATTCTAACATATCACCAAAAGAAACTGTAGAATATCTCTGGCTAACACTCCTGCCAAAAGCACTTGGGTCTTCTCAGTGTCACACCATGAAAATAATAGGGGAAGGGAAGGAAAGGGAAGGGGAGGGGAGGGGAGGGGAGGGGAGGGAAGAAAGAGGGAAGGAAGGAAGGGAGGAAGGAAGGAGGGGAGGAAGGAAGGAAGGAAGGAAGGAAGGAAGGAAGGAAGGAAGGAAGGAAACACACAAATGAACATTAGGGTGAGGGTCCCCTTTCTACTCCAGCTGACTGGCAAACATTAATGAGTCGGAAGACACGAACGCTTGGTGCAGATGTGGGGAAAATGGGTAGTCTTATGCAGAGCCATAGGAATTATGTCGTCATTGTTCGAAAGANAGAAAGAAAGAAAGAAAGAAAGAAAGAAAGAAAGAAAGAAAGAAAGAAAGAAAAAGAAGGAAAGAAAGAAATATGAATAAAAATAAAGAAATAAAATCAAGAGACATTCCTTTTATCAAAACAGTGCAGGTAACAGGGAGATAGATCCCTTTTGGAGCCCTTGGCTACTAGAGGCATTGCAATACTCACACAGGAGAGAAAATCCAAGAAAAGGAGAGAGAGAATTTGCCTTTTTAAAACATCTAATTTTCATCTCCAATTCACTGGAATCTTCTTCCTTTTTGGTGTATCCTTCAGTGACAACCAAGAATCTGAGGCAACTCAGGGAATTCTCAGTTAATGCATATGCCCTCAGCACATGTGATGCACTCATGACCCTGTGTGGTTGACATTAATGTCAACCCTGGAGCTGAAAATATCCTAGCCTATTGTTAATCTGAAGTTTATTTCCTAAATCAGAAAACCTAACTAAAACTATAGTAGAATATAGTATAGAAATAAATTTGAAAGCATCTCTCTAATGTTTTACGTTTAGAGTTTGGTTTCCACCTGGCCTGGTAACACAGAGCTTTTCTAGCATGCTCATCCAGACTGTAGAGCATCTTGTGAAGTAGGATGAGGCACCAGCCCTGGGTGACCTTGCACACACCACAGCTCCTGTGCCTGGATACTTCATCATAAAGGAATAGGGCCAAAGCCAGAGAGAGCTCCCACCTGCTTATACATGACTCTGCTTGATTAGACTGCATGCTTTTTTGGCCATACTTGGAGGTAGCTTTGTCCCCCTTTGTGATGTGTACCCCACCATTGCCAGGTAATTATCTGATTGAACTTTGTGTGCCAACCCAATGTTACAGACCTTTCTGTATCACTACATTGACATGAATATTTCTTTACTTCATCAGCTCCCTAACGAGACTGTCTTTATTTTATTATTAACTAATTTTTTTAATGTTTGTTTACTTTTGAGAGAGAGAGCGTGAGTGGGGGAGGGGGAGAGAGAAAGGGGACAGAGGATCCAAAGTGGATTCTGCACTGACAGCAGAGAATCTGATGCATGGTTCAAATTCATGAACCGTGGGATCATAACTTGAGCCAAAGTCGGGTGCTTAACTGACTGAGCCACCCAGGCGCCCCCCTCCCCCCACTTTTTAAAGTAAATTCAGTGACTTCTTTTTTTAATTTATTTATTTTGAGAGAGAGAGAGAGAACGAGTGGGGGAGAGGGCAGAGAGAGAGAGAGAGAGAGAGAATCCCAACCAGGCTCCACACTGTCAGTGTGGGGCCCGATGCGAGATTCAAACCAACGAACAGTGAGATCATGACCTGAGCATAAATCAGAGTCTGACACTTGACCAAGCGAGCTGCCCAGGCACCCCGAGACTGAGTGTCTTGAGCGTAGGGACAGGATTCCTCTTTGAATCCCAGCAACCCAGCTGAGTAGGGCACAGTAAGTACTCAGTACACAGCTGTTAGTTGTCTGTATGTTAGAGCATTTATCAAACCAATATAAATAGATAAGAAATATATCAAATTAATATAATTATACTATATGGATATATTTGTGGGAGATACATTTTTTAAAAACTTAATTTACTTTAATAATGATAATCTGACATTTTTGTTTCTTAAAAAAAGTTTCCAAAAGACCTGTTTCCAGGCAAAAGGAAAGTGAATGTGACATTTCATCAATGAAATTTAAGCAGGAAAGAAAATGAGACCCTTTCATATTTTATTTTCAGTCAAATCTTGAACTCCAAGGAATTCAAAATGTATCATATAAACAAGACTGATTTAGCTTTTGGAACATATTTGAACAATGAACTGGAAGAAGATACAAAAATAACCATTTAATATCTGCCCTCTTGCTGGAGTCCATGAATCAACTCCAGAACTCTGAACTTTCAATTCACGGAATTAGTGATTTTTTTTCCTTAGTGTCTGTCTTTCAAAAGACGATCACTTTATAGTTGACGGCACAGATCCTTTTATTTCACTTTGTAAAGCCCTAGGCCAACAGGACCCCAGAACGTCAAACTGCACAAAACAGGAAAACATTCTGGGGAGAGTTCTGATTCTTAGTACTCCGAGTTTTCTAGATGTCTGGACAACCAGGGGCTGCCAGGCAACAGCAGTCTCCTCCCTTCTATCTCTGCAGCTCATCAGAAGTTACTCAAAAGTCCCTGGAGTCACCTGCCCATCTCTTTGTTCTTATCTTTCCATGTCAAGGTTCCAACCAACTCCTGAGTACTTGCTGAGTGTCAGCTCTGAGGGCGTTAGGTATAAAATGAGATCTGGCACCTCTCCTGGGGGAGGTCATTCCTGATGAGAGAAAAAGCCAGGAGAAACATGCCACATGGCACCACCATAAGAAGCATCAAGACAGAGGCTTGTCACATGTGCCAGGAAATCCACATAAAGTAGGGAGTGGGTCGGGAGGCTTCAGAGAAGAGGTGACACTTGAGTGAGGCCTTGAAGGATAAGAGTTTGCTAGGGGAAGAAGGTGATGTTCAACCCATGCGGTACTGGAAGGCGAGGGGCTTAAGCACAACATTTTGAGGAAATTACAAGCAGTTTGAAGTGGCAGAAAGCAACCGTGAGATGAGGAGGGGGAGCAGAGAAGAGGGCCATGAATAGCAGCTAAAACTAGGGGCGAGTGGGGTAGACTGGAACAGAGTTGAGCTTTTATCCTGAAGGCAGTAAGGAATGTCTGGAGGTTTAAGAGTAGCCCAGTTAAATGGGCAGAGCTGTATTTGGACAACAGGAGAGAAGACATTGAAAGGAGGTGAGGGGCCTTCCAAATGCCAGAGCCCTGGCTCCAAAATGCTGCATTCCTCCTGCGGGGGGCAGTGCCACAGAGAGAACCTGACAGACCGCAGAATCCAGAACAGGCAATGGGTGCTAGGTGACTGATGTGGTGTCGGGCTGAAGGGAAAGGGAGATGTGGAGAAAGACTCTAAGAAGATGGTTAATCACCGGAGAAGCTGAGAGGAGAGCAATGAACATGATGGAGACTGAGGACAAAGGAGAAGGGCTGGGAAGGAGGGCACTGGGGTGAGTTGGAGACATGCAGAGACGTGCACCTGGCACTGGAGACTAGGTCTAGAGCTCCAAAACGCCGAGAAGGGCTGCATCTTATATGATACAGGAAGAGTTTTGTTTTTTCATATATATATTTCTTTTAAGTTTATTTTTTATTTTGAGAGAGAGAGAGAATCTCAGCAGGCTCCAAACTGTCACCAAGGGGCATGATGAGGGGCTTAAACCCAAACCATGAGATCATGACCTGAGCCAAAATCAAGAGTTCGATGCTTAACCAACTGAGTCACTATATAGTTGTTTACTTGAGACAGAGAGAGAGAGAGAGAGAGAGAGAGAATGCATGCAAGCAGAAGGTCAGAGGGAGAAAGAGAATCTTAAGCAGATTCCGTGTTCAGTGTAGAGCCCAGCATGGGACTCCATTCCACGATTCTGGGATCATGACCTGAGCCGAAATCAAGAGTCAGAGGCTCAACTGACTGAGCCACCGAGGCACCTCAGAGTTTGCTTTTGATTCAAGAGATTGCAGGCCTCTCATGATCCTGAAATGATGGAGCAGTACTCATTCAGAAGATGGGATAAGAGCATGAAAGCTAATGTAGCAGCTGAAAATGATGGCCTGATGCCAGACCAGATAGGGATGTCTCGTAGGTTTTAAAATTTTGTTTAGTTTTGTTGAGGGTGTGTGTGTGTAATTTTATTTGCTTACTTGTTTGTTGTGGTCATCTAGATATGAACTGATGGTCTTCTCCCAAGAATGTACTTAATTGCTAGTATCTAGTGTAGACTTATTAACCACTGGCATAAAAATTTATGTTTGCCTGCAGATGAGAAGAGCTAGTGATGAGAGGCGGGAGTAGAAAGAAGGCAATTACAAAATAAGATTATGAAATAAGTTGCTCTCCTGCTTCACTCTTCACAGGATTTGATGAGACCCATCAGGGGAGCTGTTTAATATCATTACACAGAGTGTGCACTGAACAAAACTAGGGAGTGCAAGTTACATCTCAGACTTTGTAGAAAAGGGCATCAAGCATGAAAAATTTCATGAAGGTGGAAGTAATATGCCTTAAGGAAGGGGGCATCTTTTTCTAGTTTGCCCAAAGATGCTGTGTTGGCTTAGTAGAAACTCTCCTTTCCTGTTGTAGATGTTTCACTGGTGAGAAATATAAGAGCAGTAACATATACTCATTTCACCCAGATTATTTGAAGGCTAAGGAAACATGATCCACTCAATCTCTCATTGCTGGAGTCACACTGCAGGTATCAGCCTGAAATTCAGTCTTCAGCCAGAGCAAACACAATTCAAGATTTAATCAGGTCTAAAATCTTGTTACAGTCGAATGCAATGTTCTTTTATCAAAAGAGGTCTAGCATTTACACTTCCTGCTTACGTGCTGTGGAAGTGAAGAAGGAAACCAGAGGATATCTTGACCTAAGTTCTTTGCTAGGATTTATGTATCCATACTTTAAGTGGAAGATGTTTTCTTACACAAACACATGTCTTAGTCCATTCTGGCTGCTGTAACAAAAATACCACAGTCTAGGAGGCTTAAGCAATGAACATTGATTTCTCACAGTTCTGGATGCTGTAAGTCCAAGATCAAGTCACCAGCAGATTCCATGGCTGGTGAGAGCCCACTTCCTGGCTCACAGGCAACAGTCTTCTCCATGGGTCCTCACATGGTGGAAAGGGTGGGGGACTCTCTTTTATAAGGGCACAAATCCCTTTTATGAAGGCTCTGCCTGCATGACCTAATCACCTCCCAAAGGCCACACCTCCAAGCAGGATCACACTGCAGCTTAGGTTTCAACAGATGAATTTTGAGCGGATATAAACATTCAGTCTATAGCAGCATATCATCAAGAAAACCATAAATATGAGCACTGGGTGTTGTGTGTAAGCCAATTTGACAATTAATTATATTAAATAAATAAATAAATAAAATGTTTTAATTGTAATTTTTTAAAAAGGATACCATAAATAGTATTTTGAGGTTGTTAAAATTAATTCCAAAGAAAGAAACACAACTTCCATCTATTACACCCTCCTTACTTGTATATTTACTTGAAAAAATAAACTTATTGCTCGGCATTCCCCTGGGAATTGTAAGCTCATGACAAGGTAGACAGTGTCTTGTGTATTGCCAAATCCTTCCTTAGTGCCTAGAACAGTGCCAGACACATAGTAGGTGCTCAAGAAATCTTTTTTTTTTTTTTTTTTTTTGGTGCTGACTAAGCATATTGAAACTA